AACATGAGTAGGTGGTTCTGTCTCAGAAAATGTGTATTGGAAGTGTAGGTATGTTCTGATGGCTCTCTCCACGAATGAAGAGTGGGTGGAGGGGTATATATATAGCCTCCACACAAAAACTAACCGTTACACACAATTTACCAATCTCAGTGAGACCGAATTGAGAAACTCGGTCGGACCAATTTAGCAAACCTAGTGACCGTTAGGATTTTCGGTGGGACTGAGATGCAACTCGGTAGGACCGATATGGTTAGGGTTAGGGCATAACGTAATCTTGATGTGACCAACTACACAAACTCGGTGGGACCGATTTGGTAATAAGCTAACCAGAGAGTTGGTCAGGTAAACTCGGTGGGACCGATCGCTCATTTCGGTGGGACCGAAATGTTACAAAAGGGAAACAGTGAGTTTACACTGCAATCTCGGTGGGACCGATCGCTCATCTCGGTAGGACCGAAACGTTACGAAGGGAAACAAAGAGATTACAACCCCATCTCGGTGTGGCCGAGATCCCTATCGGTGAGACCGATTTGCCTAGGGTTTGTGGCAGTGGCTATGACATCTGAACTCGGTGGCGCCGGATAGAAAGAATCGGTGGGGCCGAGTTTGACTTCTGGTTTAGGTCAGATGTGGATGTGGGAAGGTAGTTGAGGGTTTTGGAGCATATCACTAAGCACTATGAAGCAAGAACCTCATCAAGCAACACCTCATCCCTCCTTGATAGTATTCACTTTTCCTATAGACTCAATGTGATCTTGGATCACTAATATAAAATGTAGAGTCTTGAGCTTTGAGCTTGAGCCAATCTTTTTGTCCTTAGTATTTTGAGGGGTCCACTTTCCTCATCCATGACATACCATTTATTGAGCTTTTTCTAAAATATTAATCTTGGAATAGCATTAACTCAATGAGCTATATATTGTTAGGAATTACCAAAACCACCTAGGGATAATTGCACTTTCACAGAGAGACCTGGCACGGTACATGCAACAATACAGCTCTGAAGATGGATTGGTGGCAGGTGGCTGCGGCAGCCTCATACCCGGCAGGTGTCCCAGTTGAGGAGTGCGCCGGACTGGTAGGTGCCCCATACCAGGCAGGTGTCCTGGTTGGGACCTCGGGTCTTAAATATTTAGGTTTGGCTGCGGATGTCTGTTTGGTATTAGGCCCAGACTATCTGCGCCCCTTCATCAATTGGATAGGTGTAGCAACAGTTGTTGTTTAGACGATTGCTTTAGTCTTGCTGTTGTTTGGCTTTGTAAAGTCTTGTGAGAATAATTAATAAAGTGGTCGTATGCATCGCTCAGATGCAGAGGCCGGGGGTCATCCTCCTTTTCTAAAAAAAAATCATATGTTTGTGTTCTATCCAAGATGTTACAAATGTAACAAAAAAAGAGTCAATTACATCAGTGGTGCTAGACCTTGGCACAAACGGTCACTTTGGTGCTAGAACTTGTGGCGTACATTGAAATGGTGTAATAAGTTGGTTCGGATGTGCAAATACGGTGCAAATCACGTTTATGTATGCCCGAGCCGCTGATTAGGCATGCCAGCGTGGCGTGAGACCCGCTGTCGGCGACAGGAAGACAGAGGAGTGGTGTATGGCCTGTTTTTTTTTGCGAAAACCCTCTTGATTTTTTTTCATTTCTCGCAAAAAAGCCCTGCCGATGTTCGAGAAGTGGCATTTCATTTTTCCTGAAAAAATAACACGAAAAACTAGTCCCCCGACTCGACCTACGGCAATGTCAAATCCGATCGAGCAACTCCATCGGTGCACCCTTCTAGGGGCGATTTCACCGTCCGAGCACCCTGGCCACGTGCCCGGGCTCGAGCGCTGCGGATTTTTCGAGTGGCCGGGGTCACAATCCATGAATATGTACGATCTAGGCGGAAAAATACAACAGCTTAATGAATTGGGCTAGTTTAGGCGTTGCTTTTGCGGTTTGGGCTTACTCACGCCAAACGAGAACGCCTAAGGCTCATCCATTAATTTCTTTATTACATGGGCCACGCTGGGTTAGTCAGACTCAGATTGATGTCGAGCCTGCGGCTGCATCGCTCGCCTCGCCTGTTTGCCTGCCTCGCACACTGTTTGCCTCTACGCCGCGCCGCAAGACTGTGCCCTAGCAATTCCGGCGTCGTTGGAGGTGGTGGCCGGCGAGGTGCGTGGACTGATGAAGCACCGATGACCGGCAAGACCGCAAGAGATGGTGCACGACCGAGCCTCCAATTAGGCTACGATTCCACCAAGTAACGATCGGGATCTGAAGCGAAAGCGCAGGAGTCAAAGCGGCATCTCCTGTGATGTGAATTCTCCTCCGACGGATGGTGGCTCGTCCTCATCATCGTGGGCACTTCAGCAAGCACTAGTCACACGTGCAGCACCAACAAATGCCCAGCCTGCGCAAGGCCATGGCCAAGAGACAGCAAACAGCCAACGGTGAGGGCCACCAATGGCAGCGGCAAACGACAACTAGGTGAGTTATCCGACTCCAACTATGTTTGTTCAACTACATAATTGAGTATATTATTTAGTGACACTAGTGTGTTGGCGGTTTGATAGACCAAAGTACACTTTAATTTATATTATGCCCAGGCTTTGGGAATTCGCTAGCTCCGCCACTGCACCCTTCATGTGCTCCATGGATAACTACACAGAATGTATTTAAACGCAGGCGCACTTGGAGCCAAAATGGGCTACAGTCTGTGCGGCCCATTTAGACCTGCTCGTTTCTTTTGAAAATTTGTAAAAGGTATGTAAATTATAACCTTAATAATAAAAATAAATTTCAAATTTTTTTGGTGTATACATATTATATAAATCCAAACAAAAATAACTTCCATTTAAAAAAAACACGCATTATTTTCAAAACATACATATATATATAATAATATTTATGAATTATAAAAATGTTTTTATATTTGAAACCCATTTAGGACCCACATGGGTCCTGCTTATACTACATTAAGGACTGTTATGGACATAAGTAAGCATAACGCGAGTGGTGTATTGACCATGACCGCATTCAGTCTTGCTGTACGTCGTGTGTGATCGAGACGTGGAGGCCATATTTTTCAGTTTAATTTTCATGTATTGCAGGCAGGACCCATGTGTCATAGGGGTGAAAAAAAGAAAAAAGACAAGTGACAGGTAGACATGGACTTTTTTATGAAATCAAGGGGATTTTCGCAAAAGAAAATAAGCCACACGCGCTCCTCTTAGCCTTCTAGTCACTAACAGCGGGCCCCATGCCATGTTGGTGTGCCAAGTCAGCGTCGATTTTGTATCCGGAAGTGATTTGCACCGTATTTGCACGTCTGAGCCAAGTTATTGCACCAATTCAATATATGCCACAAGTTCTAGCACCAAAGTGATCGTTTGTGCCAAATTTTATCACCATCGGTGTAATTGACTCTAAAAAAAATGATGAAACAAATAAGAGATCAAGAGCAAAAGTCATCGCTAGCTATGTTTCAAGCGCAGTCAGAGAGAGAGAGAGAAAGAGAGAGAGATTGGTTAAGCTGTTAGGGAGCGGATGCACGGAACACGCATTAGGAAAATATAGTAAGGGCGTCTTCAACATGGTGCCGCAAATTTGAGGCACTATCCATTCAGGGTGTCTCCATCGGATACATCCGAAACATCTGCGCGCATTTCAAATGTGAATCAAAAAAAACCGAACAAATTTCATGCAAACCGGATGATTTTCATTTAAACCAGACCAAATTCATGAAATGGTTGACATATTTCATAGTCTAAATCTTCGGTGGTCGTGGACACGTCCTTGTCTGACGTCTTACTCTTTCTCGAACATGGACTGTTCCATATCCCACACCCTAATCTTCGTGGGAGCCCGTCGCGTGGCCTTGGATGTCGCCGGTCCGGCGAGATCCACGATAGACAACAACCTTTGCTTAAACAATAAATTAAGGCGTGAAGGAAAATGCTCGATAAAATCCCATCGGCATTACCGAAAGGACCTCTCCGTCTTCATCAGGTAGCTAGATGAGTGCTTGGGATCATGAATTTCAGCCAACGAGACATTTTGTATCAATAATACTAAGAAGTGAAGGAAAATGCTCGATAAAATCCCATCGGCATCCACGGATCCGCCAAAGTAAACGCCTGCCCGCTTGCGATGGGGATCTGCAAACTACCACGTGGTCTAACATAGGTCAGAGGATATGCTTTATTATACCGATCTAGGAGTATGTGGGTCAGAGGATCTGCGAACTACTAAGTGGTTTCCCGTTGGCCGGCCGTGCCCTGGCCCTATCATCCAAACCCGTGCGTGGGTGTGCGGGTGTGCTGTTGCTACCGGTCGACTACTAATGATGGCGATAACCAATATGGTTGCGGTCTGTTGTGCTAATAAAGGAGCTGCGCTTGAAGGATTTTCCCTTCATGACATCGATATGTATGCATATGTTGATCGACGAAACCGACATCAACATAGCCGGAAAATCCAAAATAAATTCAGAAAATGCGATCATTGATGCTAAGTCTAGGACAAAAACCTAGTGGTTGGTTTCAGAACAAAATAAACATACCATCTGAGTTGTCCTTTTCCTTTTCTTTTTCTTTGCCAAATACCATCTGAGTTGTCCTCGTTTCGCCAATTATCCAGCAATTATTCGCTTGAAATCTTGAATCCGCCAATGGAGCAAAACAGAGTGCACGTGTGAAAAATCATACCACGAACGTTGTCAACTGTAATTTCATAATGTTTTGAAACTGCCCACGCAAAACATATAATTAAGTTTCCACTATATAGCTGCTGAAACGGGCGTATGTTTTGATAACTCACGGACAAAACTGCAAACAGAGTGAGTGAAACAAGCAGTACACGTCACCAGTAAATTGCTTCATATATATAAATATCAAATACAAATCCGCATGGTTCCGACGACCTAATTGAGGTCGAGACTTAATTAGGATCAAGTAATGTCTGCAGGTAGATTTTACATAGAGAAACATATATATTCACCTCGCCCGAACTTTAACCAAGCACGCTGTAAATAATTTCCATTTTCCGGAGGATTACCGAGGCCCGATCCTGGACCACCTTCCATGCGTCAGCGACGTGGTGCTCCTCCGTGAGCGTGCTCCCGACGGCGCACCTGAGCATGTAGACGCCGCCCACGTTCGCGGAGCTCATGTACGGGCCCGGGCCGACCGCGTTCACCTCCTCGAGCAGGCCCCGGTTGAGCTCGTTGGCCGTCTTCTCGCCGCCGAACCTCTCCGGCGACCGGAGCCGGAAGCACACCAGCGCGAACTGCCTGTCCGTCACCACCTCGAACCTCTCGTCGGCCCGCACCATGTCCTCGAACGCCTCGGCCATGCGCACGTGGGAGCGGATGTGGTCGCGCAGGCCGTCCACGCCGTAGCAGCGGAGCACGAGCCACATCTTGAGCGCGCGAAACCGGCGGGTCAGCGTCATGGTCCAGTCCTTGTAGTCCACCACGTCGTGCCCCTTCGACGCCGCGTCCTTGAGGATGTACTCCTGCTCCGTGCCCAGCGCCGCCACGAGCTCGCTCGGCCTCTTCACCCACATCGCGCAGCAGTCGTTGTTGGCCAGGAGCCACTTGTGGGCGTTCATGCTGAACGAGTCCACGGCCTCTACGCCGTCGATCACGTGCCGGAACTCCGGGCAGACCAGCGCCGAGCCGGTGTAGGCCGCGTCGACGTGGACCCACACGCCGTGGGACGCCGCCACGGTGCAGAGCTTGCCGATGGGGTCAACGGCGGTCGTCTGGGTGGTCCCGACGGTCGCGCACAGGAACAGCGGCACCAGCCCGGCGTCCACGTCGGCCTGCATGGCGGCCTGCAGCTCCGTGGGCGAGAGCGCGAACATGTCTTCGCGGCACGTGTGTATCGCGCGGCAGTGGTCCCGCGGGATCCCGGCGATGCGCGCAGCCTTGCGGAAGGCGAAATGGGTCTGGTCGGAGCAGTAGACGACAAGGTCGCCGATCCTCCTCTCGCCGATCTCGGCGAGCTTCTTGTCCCTGGCGGCGACGAGGGCGCAGAGTATGGCCTCGCACGAGGTGCCCAGAAGCGTGCCCCCGCCGCCGCCGGCGAACAGGAGGCTCTCCGGCAAATGCAGCGCCTTGCCGAGCCAGTCCACGACCACCATCTCCAGCTCGGTGGCGGCCGGCGAGGCGGCCCACGTGAAGGGCACCACGTTGATGCCGGCAATGAGCGCCTCCCCGAGGGCCCCGACGGTGCTGCTGGACGCCGGGAAGTGCGCGAAGTGGCGGGGGCTCTGCCAGTGCGTCATGCCCGGGAGGATGAGGTCGCGGACGTCCCGCAGCGCGGAGCCGAACGCGTCGGGCTCCGGGCGGGACGGCGCCTCCGCGGGGAGCACATTGCGAAGGAAGCCGGGCGTGACGCTGGGGTGCACGGGGTAGTCCCCCATGCCGCCGTAGTACTCGGCGATGAAGTCGATGACCTCGTGTCCCTGGCGCCGGAACACGTCGGCGTCGAGCACGGCGGGGCACTGCGGCTTTGCGTCAGCCACCGCCGGGGCGGCGCCATTGTTGGCCGCGCTGTGCATGGCGTCGAAGCACTGCGACGGTGGAGCCATGCGTGGGGTGGGGTGCGAGGGAATTAATGCAGTCGAACTATCAAGCAGCTTAGCAGAAGGATCAGTGAGTTAATAGGCCAGCTGAGTAGTGATTAACTGCTGCTAGCGGCAACCTGTGGCGATGTCGACTGATGCTAATTCAGGACGGCTCCGGTAGCTATTTATACAGTTGGGGCGCCCGTATTACTCAAGCTGGTTGTAATGGGGTATCATATCATATCATATCATACTAGTTATGATACTACCTTCTTAATGCATATTACTTCATTTGTTTGCAAAAATCTAAATCTTTTTAAAGATTTCAACAAATGACTACATACTAAGCAAAATGAGTGAATCTATACTTTAAAATATGTGTATATACATCCATATGTTGTAGTTCATTTAAAACCTCTAAAAAGACTTATATTTTGAAACCTCTAAAGATAAGTCTTTCTAGAGATTCCAACAATTGACTATACGTAGCAAAATGAGTGAATCCACACTTTAAAATATGTCTATATACATTCGTATGTTGTAGTCTATTTGAAATGTCTAAAAAGACTTATATTTAAAAACAGAGGGAGTATATTAGTATCATATAGTACTCTATTTATTGCCATGCATGACACATAGTAGCATAACATTTATTATGATACGGTATCATGATATGATACTTAACTCTCTCCTTTTCATTTAATTTTATGACACCTCATCAAAATTGCCTAGTTGGCATGCATGATACTAACTGTGATACTACCATTAGACGGGTTGTAATGCGGAGTATCATATACTAATATCATGCATATGATATGATACTAGTATATGATACTACCTTTGTAATGCATAGTATCAGAAGTTAGTATCTTAAGTTGCCTTAGGCTGGTCATAGTGGGGAGTAACTTATACTAGTGTCATACATATGACACTAGTCTAAATTACTATCTTTATAGTGCAAAGTAACATAGTACTCCCTCCGTTTTTATTTACTCCGCATATTAGAATTGACTGAAGTCAAACTACGTAAAGTTTAACCAAGTTTATAGAAAATAATATAAACATTTACCATAACAAATTTATACTATGTGAAAGTACATTCAATAATAAATCTAATGGTGTTGATTTGTTATCGTATATGTTAATATTTTTGTTTATAACATTGGTCAAAGTTTACAAAGCTTGATTTTGACCAAAGCTAATACGCGAACTAAATAAAAACAGAGGGAGTAGTAGTGTCATAGAAGACTTCATTAATTAGCCTGTAGACTCATCTTGTCTTGGAAAATACTATGTTACAGTAACATATTATGTTACCACCTCTTATTAACTACATGCTACATAAGCAAAAATTTCTCGGAGTGTATTATGTTACTTGCTAAGTTACTCTCACTATGACTAGCCTTATTAATTACCATGCATGATACAAAGTAGTACACCATTTAATATGATACGGTATCATGATATGATACCACACCATCTTTTTCTCATTTAATTGTGTGCCACATCATCCAAAAAATCTAGTTGGCATGCATGGTACCGTTCATGATACTCCCATTACGACTAGCCTTACGACCAACTTTACGATGCACGTCACTCTCCAGTATACCTGACCATGGGCTAGGCCAAACCGGGCTTGGGCCGGGCCTTAAAAGCCCACGATAAAAAACTGAGGCCCAGGCCCTACCATTGGACCTACTTTTCAAGCCCAAGCCCGACCCATCTGGTAAAAAGCCTTGAAAAGACCTTAGGGCTTAGGACCGTGGGCCATGCCTCTTTCTTAAAATGCCAATATGTCAAGGCCAAGCCGATCCAGGCCCTGCTGGTGGGCTCAAAACTCAAGCCCAAACCCGGCCCATGGGCAAGCCCATCAGGCCTAGGCCCTAGATTTCTGGGTGGGCCGGCAGGGCTGGGCCGGAGATGGCTAGGACTACTCTCCGGTAATGATGTGAGCAGTACTAGGGCATGAACGCATGATCTACAAATCTGCATGATCTATGTGGGATTAATTATATCGGTCGTCCACGAAATAGGTTTAAGACGAAGTTGAGGTGGCAAAAGCGACGTCCGGAGAAAATAATGCTGGCCGTCGAGCTAGCTACAGCAAAAATGCTTGACCTACGTAAGATTGTTATTACATAACCTACGTAAGCTTTCTTTTCGTAGATGTAGCATTGCTTCTAGCTACAGACTCCCAAGTCAAAACTCTTACTCCTGCCTGTCCGTGTGGGTTGAGGAGTTCTCCTAGGTGGAGTGGCGGACAGCACAAAGGTTGCTGTCGCCGGCCTGGGTTTCAGTCTCCTCATTCTCCTATAAAAATAAGACAGAAGACTTTTTTCCCTCTGTTCTTATTTTTTTTGTCTGTCCGTGTGGGTTGGGCACAATAAACTAACCCGGTGGAGTCATGCCGTATGTCGTGCCACGGGAAGCCACGTCTCAAGCTCCCGCACCGCGCGCGACAGTGAGACGCCGTGAACTGAACGTGATATCCGGTAGGTACGGTGGCCAGCACGTACAAGCGAAATTCTGATTCAGTCGATCTGTCAAAAGAAAAAAAAAATCTGATTCAGTCGGGTGCCTTAAAAAAGGCGGTTGCCGCTCTGCTCGAAACTTGTTCTCCTTTCATCAGAACCAAAATTCTCATGCTTAATTTTTTTGCTTAATTTTAATGATCTAAAAGATCATATATTAGTTTAGTTTATAGAGGGAGTAATTCTTATGCTTAATCGACGATGCATATATTTCTAGGTCGATATAGAAATTCGATACAGAAATTCTTACCCTTAATCGATGATCCTGGACCTTGATGGTCTAATTACAGAAAACTGAGCTGTTACATACTTTGTAAAACTGCACCATTAGGGTATCTTCTACGGTAATTCGTAAATTTTCTTTCGCATTCATCCGCCTACACGGTGCGGGAGATCGCCATTCACCATAGCTGCATATATTTCAACCCGCATTTTAACTAACGGGATAAAATTCATGCAAAACGGCCGATATTCATCAAAGCTCAGATAGAAAATAACACAAATCATTCATACATAGCATGCAAATTATGTCTAGTACAACAATGTCTCAAATTCGACTAGATTGACCGAATGTGCAACAAGTTTTTCATCAATGGATCATGTCGTTCCACACATGCTCCCCCTTCAGCTTCGTCCAACAGTGTGTGCACGTAAATGGTTGTCCCTTTGTCATGTGGTACACCACGGCAGTGCGTGCGAACTACATATAATGTGTAGACCAACATTAAGTGAATGAATCATGTTGAACAAGAGGAAGCAAAACTTACGATCTCGTCCTCTGCTGCGTGCAATGGCCATCTTGCCTCGAGCTGACGAACCATGTCACAAAACTTGGTGACGCTGGTTTGGATTACGTACCAGCGATACGACAACGACCTCATGTTACTTTGTTGAATGATCTACATGTCGTAGGGCGCGATGTGCTTTCGTGCGTGAAACTTTTCATGCACTTGCTCCCAAAAGGCCGCCCCTCTTTTCCTGCTTACAAAATCCGCGAATACAGCCAACCATGCGTCGCACATCAACTCATCATCCGTGTTCGAGTAGCTCACCATCCTTCGTACTCTAAAAAGTGACATAATGTTTGAAAATAAGCTCAATGGCATTTGACCGAATACCCGCCGAACGTGGTGTCCGCCATGGAGGTCGTCGATCGGGGGTGGGGCTGAGTGTACCTGGGTACAAACAACTCCAGGGTGGACAACTCTGTCGTAAAGGCAAGCGGGCGCGTCGGTGCTGGTTGCGGATGTCCGACAGTGCCTCTGTAGCGGCCGGAGACATACAACAGCAGCAGCAAAGGTGGAGTGTGCGGATGCAAAGCAAGGGAAAGAAAGCGAGGTGTGGAAGGAAATAAGATCGGGAGGGTGAATTGGGTGGGCCGAGGGTGTCGGAGCCCTACGTGTCTCCTGTCCGGACTCCGGCAAACCTCCGCACTTTGTCTAATTTGCGGAGAACACACGTCCGAACCATCCTGAAAATTGATACAGATCCGTGTTAGATGGCTTCCGCGGTCCGAATTGCGTGATCCAAACGGATGCGGGTGGTTTGCGGGTCGGCGTTAAAGATGCCTTTAGGATCCTATTAAGATGCCTATAGTGTAGTTTAACAAACTATAATATTCTTAATAATGTGATCCTTTTGAAGTACTAAAAAGATCTCTGCAACTGAAAAAAGGTACCCTCCACTTCTATTTTAAACCCGAGAAACGCTTGTTCCTTCGTTGCTTTCCTTTGATCTCGGAAAGTTCTTGCTACTTCCTTCCACACATATGTTCTCGCACTTCTATACATATCCAAGTTCGTAAGATGCGTTTGTTTGCTTGCATCATCGTCTATATCCAGAGTGTAACTTGTAGGCTCAAAGCATCAAATAATAGCTTTCAATATAGTATATCTAAATAGTTAGCCTTCACTATCAAAAAATAATCTCGCTTCTCCTTAAGCCACATCATATTAATTTAACCATTTGGATATATTAGATCAAACAACAATATTCGTCCCATCTACACATTGAGGGGCTGTACCAACCACACATGTAGTAATTGACGCATGCATGCAAATGCATGTAGTAACTCCTGCCTATAAGTGTTTTATAATCAAGAAAAAAAATGACCCATGCATGCAACTTACAGCCTCGTACTCGAGTGCTCTATGAAAGAAAAGTGAGGCGTACGTGCATGCATATTTTATTTTGTTTCTGTCCAATTTTAAACTTATGCATTTATTTATTTGTAAAATATTGATAAACAGATTAGCTTACTACATGAGAAACTATAAAGACACTAGCTAAGTTGATTAGTTCAACGCAAAATTTATTTCATACAAAATCTCGCCGCAACGCATGGAGCATCGTCTAGTTAAAGTGGCTAAGATGGCAACCATGTTGTACATTTGGAGTACCTGGGCCTGACCTCTCCTACATTACCACATATTTCACTTCGATGGTTGACACATGTTTGCATTCATCTATTTTTTTACTGCCCATTAGGATTTA